CCACCTTACATCCATTTCCGATTTCTACCTGATAAGATGGAGTATCAGTTATGTCCAGTCCCAATTTTTCCACCACCTCCCTCATTATAAAATTGATGGATGCCCCACAATCCACCATGACCACCACCTCCCTGATCTCACCCCACACCTTAAGTGTTTGGCTTGAAGAGAGCCCTAATAGGCTTTGTAGAGAGAGTAGAAGCGGTTTCTCCAACTCACCAGTGTCCACAACCAGAATCTCCTCAACTTCTTCTCCTTCTTTCTCACCATCTTCCCTAATTTCATCGTCCACCAACAACAAATGCAACTGACGGACCTGGCACTTGTGGTTGGAGTGCCAACGATCCCCACACTTGAAGCACAGCCCCTTGTTTTGACGATCACGCCATTCCGCGGTTAACAGCCTCCTCACCGGACCGGAATCGTTTTCTCCGGTACGGATCTCAGCACCTGGGGTCATCGTCTTCGTGTTCGTTCCTTCGCTAGGGCTCCCACGAGCTGCATTCCCTTGACTCACACTCGTTTGGCTGGATCCGGTAAACGATTGGTTTGAATTAACCCTGTTGCTCGCTCCTGAGGTTGCGTTTTAGGCTGTCCATGACTTATTCTCAGTTGGGCCAGCATGTCTTGTTTGGCCCACTGAAAACCGGTTAAGTCCATTAGACCAATTTCGCCCCAAAGGCCCTAGTCCCTCTTCCTTCCAAGCCGTGTTACGTCTCTCCACCTTGATAGATAGCTTCATCATCTCTGTAAGACTGAGCTCCGGCAACATAAGCAATTCTTCCCTGATACTGGTACGAACTCCGTTGAGCCATGCTCCTTTGAGCAGATCTTCATCTTCGAAACGAAAAGCCCCAACCATCTTCTCAAATTGGGCACGAAATTCAGTCACGCTCCCGTCTTGTTTAACGGTGTACAAGGCCCTGTATGGGTTGTCCAGGGCCTCCGATTGAAACCGACTGAGTAGTTCTCACCGGAAAACTCCCCACGTCACGTTTGGATGGCTTGCCTCCCACCAATGGAACCAGTGAAGAGCCTCCCCTTCCAACACAACCAACACCGAATTTACTTTCTCAGCCTCGGTGACCCCATTAACCACAAAATAACGTTCCACTTTACTCAACCACCCAAAGGCATCCGCCCCTGCGAATGTGGGAACCTCTAGGCGTCGGTGAGGAGGTACATTCATATTAAATCTCCTCCCGTTCCTTCTTTCGTAGTGACCTGAACCCTCCTCATCATCATTTTCTCCGCCGTGAGACTATCTGCGTCTTCTCGCAGCCAGCTCATCTAACCGACGGAGTATATCGGTCATGCCCACTTCGTTTGCTCCCAATCTACGCAGCAGCTCGTCATGTCTAGCGTCACTTGCGTCTAACCTCAACAGAACTTCTTCCTGCCTCGCACACCCTCTGCGCAATCCTTCCTCAATTAAATCCATTCGATGTTCCATTTGTCGCGTGATTACCATACCACAGAGCTCCAAGATCGGAGCTCTGATACCAATTTGTTACATTTTACAGAGAACAACCCAAGAATTATCACAATCAGCAGCGAAAATAGAGACACAACCACTCTTTTGTATTATTCAGATGCAAAATAACACTCATAAACAGAGTTTGATTCATCTTAAAGGAAAGTTACATCAAAACTAAACCCAGCAAATTACAATGGAAATGAAAAGATAACAGTGAGACAATTATAGAGGTCCCACACACTCCTAAGCAATTGCTTCTTCCATATTCCGCTCCCCTCTCCATTCTTTCCCACGCTCTATATAACCAACTCATGGCACAGCATGCACTAGTCAGTTAAGGGGTATTCTTGTGACTTCCTACTGCTGACGTGGCATTATCATCTGAGAGCTGCTCTTCTGAAGCATTTGGGCCTTGCTTATCTTTGATCCATACACGTCTTGCTTTGTCCCTTGTGTACATCTTGGGTCTGATTGTATCATAGACCCACAACCCAGGCTTACAGGTTTAAGTCATAGCCGGCTGAGGGCTTAACCCGAAAGCGGTGTCAAATCCAGGGAAGGGCCCAAGTTATGTGAATCCGGTCTACACCCGGAACAGTTTGCAATCTAACAGAACAGAAAGATAACAGTAAATAGATGTGCCAAAATTATGCTCCAGAATGGAGCAAGTATAAAAATAGTATTATAATTTTGTCCAGTTCCAAAGGTTCATGTTTAACCAAAAACTCTCCCCCACACATACCCACAACATACTCCTAACCCCAAAAAGGATGTACATGATTACACTGTGTACACATATAATATATCCTGCATTATTTGTCAACTGAACTATGGTTAATATGCGCCATCCAATACATTAACAAGACAAGTGGCAACTAAGTAAGCTGACTAGTAGGCTCTATGGTCATCTCACACCCAAATAGATCATGTGGAACTCGCTCAGATAACTAAGTTTGGAAGTCTAAACAATTTGCACACGATCATATGAAATACGTGACCTACGAGCATTAGAAAGGAGTGAGTTCTTGTCTACCATAAATCAACATAAAGCAATTGATATTTAGCCAAACAATTATTATTTATTAGCACTTAAAATCAATAATTTACAAAAAATTGTTTTAACTTGAATAGTTTTACAATCAAACTCGGAGGAACCAAACCTATCGCCACTTCCCCTTTTTATCCAAAAAGTAGAAAGCTCCAATGACCAAATCATTTGTGCTGAAAATCATTTCAAAAATGGCTTAAACATAATCATAAACTAGTGAAGGTTGTCAAATATCTTTGCTTAATAAAACACACCACAACTGATGCTAACAGCACAACATAGCAAATATTTAAATGAAGTGAAGTGGATGAGAAGTTGCAGATGCAAAAGCTACTCCATGAACCTTACTTAGAATCTGCATACAAGTCTATGATCCCAGCAAAATTTCAATGAAAAAGCAGAAAGAAACTAAACCACATATTCATCTTCTAGTTGGGTTACACAGAAGTGTGAACTTGGATGTTTGGTATGTAGATTATTTTAAAAATCCTGGGAAAGTGGGTTGAGGAAAAATATTTTCCAACGTTTGGTATGAGGAAATTGAAAATATTCCCGGGAAACTTTTTTTACCATCATTTCAATTTTAACTGCAGAATCCATAGAAGTTAAAAGCGGATTGCGGCTTGTTGCGGCCAACCCTGAAAAACACTATAGGGCTATAGCGGGTTGCGGTTGGGGAAATAGCGGAATAAATTAATAGTACCTAGATATACCACATATATATGCTAAAAACTAAAACAATCATTAATAATAAAGAATTCCTCTAATTAAATGTTATTAAATGTGTATCACTTTGATTATATGGTTTAACTAAAATATTTTCCATTTACCCTTATATATATGCATGCATATGTAGTCATTATTTTTCGAAAATGAAATAATATTTTATTGTTTCAAATAATTTACAGGTCCTTCAATTTCAACTATGACTAATTTCAAGTCTTCCCATCAAAACTATCATTGAATTAACTATTTAACAATTTAAATAAAATTTAAGTAACAATTTCACATAATAGCAATTTAAAAATTTAAAATTTAAAATAAAATCTTAACATAATGCTTTTTATTAACAAAATTTAAATAAATTTCAGTCACAATTTAAATAATATTTAACAATTTAATTAACTACTAAAAAAATAATAACTTTTTAAATTTTAAAAAGAAATTTTAACTGTCAGGTTTTATTAATTATGTTAAAAGTTTTAAACTCTAAATTTAAATAATAGAAAAAAGTTTTAAACTGCAAATTTAAAACAATAGAAAAAAAAAACATAAAGTAAAAAACAGCCAATTTAAATAATAGAAAAAAAGTGAAAAGAATGAAAATCTGAAACGTGGATACATTTATTCGAAAGTGGGAGTGGAAAAGACATTTCTCTCTTCCTCTTTTCTCTCTCCAATAACCAGAGACGTTTCTCTCTCTCTCCAATAACCCGGTTCACTTGCAGAGGACTCGACGACGTTCCCCTCTCTTTCTCCAGAATGGATACATACATTCTGCATCTTCTCTTCTCACTCTTTCTCACCCACACATGTTTCTCACACATTGATGATAGAGAGAAAAAAGGCAGCGTCGTGTGACAGAAGAGGGAGTGAAGGAGTGGTTAGGGTCCACAAATGGCCGCTATTTGGCCGTAGATGGCCGCAATGGCGTTCCGGAGCGGAGCAGAGCAGGTTCTTGCAGTGGGGCTGCGCAACGCGCATCTGGTGCGGCTCGCGGCGCAATAGCGCCACTACTGACTATTATGGCAGAATCCCAAACGAAAATACCATATGATACATGGTATTTTTATTTTCCCACAAAATCAGTATAATTAACCCAACATTCCTGGAAAAATTTTGGACCTACCAAACACCTTTTTGTAACTTACCGGGGAAAAAAAATTTCCCATCATATTCCTAGAAATCTTTTTTTCTAGGTAAAAAAAAATATCTCTATACCAAACGCCCCTAAACGTTTCAAAATCCTGGTCTCATGTCCAAAATGCCTAAAATTAAATGAAACTTTACAATTAAATAATCTACTTGGGGAGTTAGGGCACATTGGAATGTACTTTGAACTCACCAGACAACTCTGTCAAGAAAAGGGGAGGGAACAGTATTAATAGACATTAAATGTCCTACCAAAAGGCTACCTAAGAAAAGATTCTTACATCTGATTGAGGAAAAGGGTAGTAGGAGCACAACAAACACTTTGCTTAGTTGACTAATTGTTACTATTAACAACGAAAATGCACACGCAGCCTACCAATTAACAATTTGGACCGCATGAAGGACAAGTAGTCAAGTAGCAAACTGGGGATAGATAAATCAGTTCATATAAATGACCAATGTAGTTAAAATACTGAATCAAAAAAATCCCCCAAACTATAAGATCTACAAATTAGCAGTACTTTAAAAAAATAAACATGTCCAAGTCTCCAAGAATAGTTACTAGTTACCCATGATATAACTTTAGAAGAAAAGCATACTTACTTTCAATTGATGCAAATCGAATGCAGAAAAGCTCATCCTTCAATTCACTATCGGCGAAGTCCCTCGCATGCCAAACGCAAGATTTTTCGTTCCCTGCATGCTCTTGCACAGTCATCGCAGGCAGAACTGCGCGGGGCAAAAGCAACCAAACACAAACAATCAAAAATAAAAATTAAGAATCAAAACATGCAGACAAAAAACGAATGAAGGGCGTCAAAAAATCACTTACTTAAATGATTGGCGCAGATCTTGAGGGTCTTCGATTGCCTCATCACAAGTCTAACCTTCCCATTAACTTTATGCTTCAGGAACTTCACAGTGCCCGCGCCTCGCTCTTTCCATTGGTTCCCGTCCTTGTCAAACCGATATAGCTTCGCTTTGCTACAAACACATCACACATAAACCCTAGATTTCAGCCAATAAAATCGCCAAAACTTCTAACAAGATTGCTAAATTAATTTAAATAAAAAGTGAAGAAATCGAGAGAGAGAGAGAGAGAGAGAGAGAGAGAGAGAGAGATGCATACAGATCGAGAATAGGATCTTCATCCTCTTCGCCGGTGGATACGGCGACCTCGTCGAGCTTGACGATCGGGGCGACTTGAGCTCCAGTGTCCTCATCCTCGCCGGCGGGAGCATCCTCCTCTTGGCGGTGATCGGCGTCGGTGGTAGCCATCGGAGTTGGTTGGGATGCAGAGAGAGAGAGAGAGAGCGAGAGAAACGGTTACTAGGGTTTAGGTGATGAAGGGTGCAAGAGAAATAGGGTCAATATACTTTTGTATGCAGCGATAAAGTGCTGAGCGAATACGCAGTCTTTTGGGTTAACCGTGTGATGGTTGCCACGTTTTGTGCTCCAAACGGATGGCTGAGATTTGCTTATGTGTCTTAAGAGTTAAGACAAAGATAAATCATTGTCTTCTTCTTTTCTTTTTCTTTTTAATAAACCCAAGGGTTTTTTAAGTTATATTTGTGTAAGAATGATAACTATTAGGAAAAAATGTTTGTTTTTTAAATAATATAATTTGTGTTATTTTATTTTCATAAAGAGATGAGACTTATATTTTTATTTGTTTTGTTCTCTTTTTTTCATGATTTATCTCTTTCTCTCATTTAAAATGACACAACTTTACGTCATTTAAAATAACACACACTTTTTCTTAAGTATTATATTAAGTTATAATTGTTAATTTTCGTCCATCTAACAGTTATAATTTTTCGAGTTATAAGTATTAATTAATTATTAATTCTGAATAAATTATAATTGTTGGATACACATAAATCAATGATTAAGATTTGATGTAAGATTTATTATTCTTATACCGGTATAAGTAGGGGTGTAAATAGGCTGGGTCGGGCAAGACTTTGACTTAAATAGGTCAGACATATGTAAAATTATTTAGGCCTAGCCTGATCTGTTAGCCTTGTATAGGCCTAAATTATAAGTTAGGCCGAGCATATATTTAAAAAACAAAAGTCTTAACCTAGGCATGTAAGCCTGTTTGAGCCTAAGAGGCATTCAATAATTAAAAAAATATTACTTTATTATTCAAATTTATTAAAATAATAATATATTTATTTTATTTTAAATAAATATAGTATAGGCCTGCTTGTATAGGCTTATAGACCCGACATGTAAAAGAAAGCATATGACCTATTTTCAAAATAGACTTTTTTTTAAAGTTTGATACTGTTCTATTTGACTTTATGTAATAGGTCGAGTCTAGTTTGATGTAGGCCAAGTCTTGGGCATCTATTAAACTGATTGGCCCATCCACACTCATAGGTGTAAGTTGATCATGCACCTAGTATATATATATATGTGTGTGTGTGTGTGTGTGTGTAGGTAGGATCTTTTAACTCCAATGTAAGACTTAAAAGTCTTACTCCTTAAATTAATTGTTGTTTCCGTCCTTTTAATGATTATAGTTTATTGAGTTATATCAATTAATTAATTATTAATTTCAAATAAATAATAATCATTCGATAGTCAAAATCAACAGTTGAGATGAAGAGGAATCTAAGTCTTACACGAGAGTCAAAATATCTCTCCATACATAGATTTAAACAAACAAAAATACCAAAACACCCTGAACTCACAAAACGATGTAGTTTGTGGTGACATGACATAATTTTATGTCATATGAGACAAACGATAAACCTTATATATGTGTGTGTGTGAGAAAAAAATTTCTGAAGTCACTTGAGATATATTTATCTCCGATCACTTCAAAATTATGTCGTTTTATTTATTTATTTTCTTATATTAATTGATTCATCTTTGAATGGTTATGATTTCCTTTTTCTCTCTTCCTTTATCACCATTGATCAATCTTCGTACGATTATGATTTAATGGCCAGATATAGTTATTTCAAGTGACTTAAGAAACGATAAGCCTTATATATATATATATATATATATATGGGTCAGGATCATTTTACACCAGTGTAAGTTACACTCTTAATCTTGTCCGTTAATCCCACTTATATTTAAGGGCTCAGATTTTTTAGTAATGTGAGCCATTGGATACAAGTGGATCAATGGTCAAGATTGAGTGTAAGACTTCTAACTCTTACACCGGTGTAAGAATATCCTGCTCCTATATATATATATATATATATATATATATATATATATATATATATATATATATAGTAAATACTCTTTTTGGTCCTCAGAAAATTTCACGAGGCCCGTTTTAGTCCCTAGCAAATAAAAAGGCTCATCGTGGTCCCTAAAAAACTTAAATTGGACCCATTTTAGTCCTTTTGAGGACTAATATGGGTCTTTTTTGAATTTGTGAGGGACCACGATTTCAACTAAATGGGTCCTTTTGAATTTTTGAGGGACCACGATGGGCTTTTTTATTTTCTAAGGACTAAAACGGGCCTCGTGAAATTTTCTGAGGACCAAAAAGGGTATTTACTCATATATATATATATGGGTCAGGATCATTTTACACCAGTGTAAGTTACACTCTCAATCTTATCCGTTGATTCCATTTATATCTAACGGCTAATTTTTTTTAGTAATGTGAGCCATTGGATACAAGTGGATCAATGGTCAAGATTGAGTGTAAGACTTCTAACTCTTACACCAGTGTAAGAATATCCTGTCTCTATATATATATATATAGGGTTATGATCATTTTACACCAGTGTAAGTTACACTCTTAACCTTGTCCGTTAATCTCACTTATAACTAAGGGCTCAAATTTTTTAGTAATGTGAGCCATTGGATACAAGTAGATCAATGGTCAAGATTGAGTGTAAGACTTCTAAGTCTTACACTGATGTAAGAATATTCTGCCCCATATATATATATATATATATATATATATATATATATATATATATATATATATATATGGTTTATTGTTTCTCATGTTGTAGGAGATAAATTTATCTCCTACGCACACATAAAAATGTGTAGGATCCATAATTTTATGTGTATGTAGGAGATAAAATTTATCTCCTACACAAACATAAAAGTGTGTGTGGCTCACATATATAGAGATTATTGTTTCTTATGTTATATGAGATAATTTTATCTATTATACACACATAATAATGTGTGGGGGCTAGGGGTGTTCATCAACCGATCCAAACCGATTCAAACCGCAATAACTGAACTGAAAAACCGAAAACCGAATAAACCGAAAAAAAAACTGCAAATTTTAATTGGATTGGATCGGTTTTTGGATTGGTAGATGAAAACGATTCAATATATTAATTTTCCTCTACCTACTTGGGTCTTTCGCCCATCACAGTCCAAAAATTTCTAAATCCAAGACCCATTAACTCATCAACTAAATTCAAGAAAAAATCTAGTAACGTCTCATCAACAAAATTTTATATATGTATAGCTTCATATCTTATTGTCCAAAAAAAAATCTATATTATCGTTTACTGATACTTTTGTATTTAAAAAAAAATTACAAAGCCAATATATACAAAAGATGTTATTTGAGCAATAATCAAGAAACAAATTTTAAGATTTTCAAAAAATCGAAAACCAATTCAATCCAAACTGAAAAAATTGGATGGGATCGGATCGGATTTGAAAAAAGTCCAAACCGAAGGGATTGGATCGGATAATTTTTGCTTCCAAAACCGATCTAATCCAGACAGCGAACACCCCTAGTGGGGGCCACATGTGAAGAGAAGAGAGATAAAGAAAAAATATGAGGTCCACACACTATTATGTGTGTGTAGGAGATAAAATTATTTTTACAAAATGAGAAACATTAATCCATATTTATATTTATGGATATGATCATTTGACACTGATGTCAAACTTTGAAATTTTACACCAAATCTTAAACATTGATTTTCGTCAATCAACAATTATAATTTCTTAGGAATTAATAATTAACTAATAAGTTTTATTCTTAATAAATAATAACTGTTGATTGACGAAAATCTACGGTTAGGATTTGAAAATTTGACACAAATATCGAAAGGATCATGTCCCATATATATATATATATATATATATATATATATATATATATATATGGGTAAGATCTTTTAACACCGGAGTCAAATTTAAAGTTTGACAGCTCATCTGAGAGCCGTTAAATCAAAAAAGATTAATGATGTCACATGCTTACTATAACACCTCATAATTTTAAATTAAGTATTTAAAATATTAAATGAGTAATTAAGTGAAGGATTAGTGAAAATCGTGAAGATTAGGCCAAAATACAAAGAAGGGGCAAAACGGTAATTAGCCAACACACAACCCTAGGAAGATAAAAATTGAGTATAAGGCCTCAGATGGTAAAAATAACCCTGGAAATGGATTCAGAACGAAAAATTGAGTGGATAGACAAGTTTCAGAAAAATCAGTGAATAATATTTTTACCGGGTCAAAATATCGTAGTATGATTGCACCGTAAAACGTGTCAGCTGAGTTTTGAGCTCTAGGTTTCAAATATGAGTTATAAATGGTCTACATGACTAGGAAATATGATTTCTGATAAAATTTGATGGAAATAAGTTAGTTTGGGGAAGCGTGCCAACGGTTTGCGCAACAGCTTAAAACAGTGTTTTCTCCGAACGACCGAAAAACTCAGGATTCATCTCATCAAGTATAATTAAAGTAGAATAGTTAATGTTAAAAATTAGAGATCTAAATAGGTTGTGAATTTTTGAACGTTTAGTGAAAATTCGGATGAATTTTAAATCGCGTGAGGTGGCGTGGGACCCACCCCACTTAAGTCCACTTAAGCCACATCACCCTCCCTCACCATTCATCATCTTCTCTCTCCTTCTTCCTCATGAAATCCGCACATGGCAGCCCATCACCACCATCTTCACTCAAAATTTTCTTTTCTCCATAACTACATCATTTCTTAACCAAATCAAGTGATTTTTGTGTTGAAATTTGTTGGAAACAACCTTCTAAACACATTGGTAGAACTCTTAAGCCTTGAAACCATCTATTTGGGGAGATCCAAGCCAAAACCAGCTGCGAATTTATGGAGAAAAATGGAGGTTCATGGAGTCATTTGAGCTTCCATTGCTTGGAGGAGTTTTGGGTTAACATCTAGCCTTGGTTGTGAGTATATTTCCATCCCATTTACATGGTTTGATTATAGTTGATATTCATGAACCCTAAACATTGATTTGTTGATGTGTGATGTTAGAGAGCTCAATTGGGAAAAGTTTGTACATGAAAGTGTCTTAGAATAATGTGTATTAGCTATGAATGCCATGGAAATTTTAAGTGAAAAATGTGGATTTT